TATCAGAGTGTTCCATCTCATTTCCCTTTGGGGTTGCTGTAGGTGATCTGGAAGTCTGGTTTTGAGACTTATTTACGTGTTTTCTCATTTCGACTGGGGTGGGGGCTGTTGTCGCCTGTGAGAATCACCTCCTCTGAGCTGGGTGAGGTGGGACAGGGGCCGGGAGCAGCGGTAGGGATGGTGACCCAAAAGCCCTTTCTTGTGGGCTGGGAGCAGCAGGAGGGATGGTGGCCAGGAAGCCCCTTCCTCTGGTCCCGGAGCAGGGAGGGGCAGCTCAGCAGCCCCTACCTCTGGGCTGGGAGCGGTGGGAGGGATGGTGGCCTGGAAGCCCCTTCCTCTCACCCAGATTCTTGATGTTACAAGATCCTCACTCAGTGTTATGAGCGTGAAGTCCTGGAATTTGTCTTGAACACGCTTTTCAGATGGTTCTGGAGCAGGAGGCTTCAAGCTTCCATGGACTCTGGTGGGAACAGGGAAATTTTCGTTCTCTTTTGAATTTCATTTCTACCTCTCTGCCACCACACCAGCTCCACTGGAGATGGTGTGATAAAACTAGCACCTGTGTTGGCTTCTTAGGGCTGCTTTAACAAATGACCATAAGCAACAGCAATTCCCTTCCTACTTCTGGAGGCTGGAAGTCTGAAATTAAGATGTTGGCAGGCTCTGTACAGGGCTGTACAGGCTCTGAAAGCACCAGGCCAAAATGCTTCCATGCATTTTCCTGGCTTCTGGGACTTTCTGGCAATCCTCAGCATCCCCTGTCCTCCAGTGCATCCCTCTGTCTCCACATGTCCTTCCCCTATGTGTCTCTTTGTCCCTCTCATCTTTGTCCCAGTCATTTGTATTTGGGGCCCACCCTAAATCCAGGGCAGTCTCATCATAAGACTATTAACCAATGACATCTACAAAGAATCTCCAAATGGTTTTCCAAGGGGGCCTGAATTTGGTGGGGAACCCTGTTCAATGCACTTCAGCAACCAATACCAAACAGCAAACGTCTCTCCTAGCCTGTTGCTTTCAGGAAATCTGCAGCTTAACAAAATGCTTCAGACACCATTTTCAGGATGAGGAACTAGAACGCTGTGAACAACATTCAAGTATTTGTGTGACAGATACTGGGGTTTGCTTTCCTCTGGGACTCTAGGCCTTTTGGATTCCCCTATGCTCTGAGCACCTCTTTTCTTAGTCTTTGCTATTGTCCTTATCCTAAACAAGAAGCCCATGTGATTTCCCTAAAAACCACCTGATCCCACTTCTGATACTTTTTTTGAGATGTTGAGGATGCAACCGAGGCCTCAGGCAGTCACTGAGCCGTGCCCTCGCCCCTCTATACTCCTGATCCCCATTCCCACCCTCATCAGGAAAGCACAAGGAGTAGGAAATGCTTCTCCAGAGCAGGCAGGCTTGGTCAGCAGAGGTCACCTCTCCGTCTAGAGGTCACCCTCCATCCCGCTTTCATCAGATGTTTGCCTGGGGTTAGGGAGACTTCCGAAGGGAATCACCTGTGTTGGGAGTCATTTTCTGCTGGGGTGGAGAAAGACAGGAAGAGCAAAAACCCAGGAACCCTCTTTTATAGGAAGGGGTAGGGAGTCCTGAGAGGTGAGCTGGGGTCATTGCTAAACACATATGGTGCTGCTTCTTTTTTTAAAAAAATCTACTAATAGGCAATCCATGTGCATGGTATAAATCTAAAGATTAGCAAAAGATATTCAATAAAAACTTAGCCTTTTTCCACCATTGTTCCTCACTCACTATTCCATTCCCTTCCCCATAGACAACTACCACGGCCAGTTTCTTGCACATCTATCCAAGGGTAGTCTACAGATGTTTGTACATTCTTTTACACACAAGTAGTAGCCTACTATACACATCGCTTTGCACTTTGCTTATTTATCATCTACCCCAGAGATAGAAAGTTACCTCACTCCTTTTATAAAAAAAGCACCTGCCTAGGGCTGGGGATTTAGCTCAGTGGTTTGGCCGCCTGCTGTGCAAGCACAATGACCCGAGTTCAATCCCCAGTACCAAAAAAAAAACAAAACACCTGCCTGATGTTGACTGGTGAGTGTAGCATGGTGTAGTTCACTGTCTTCTACTGATGGGCACTTGGCTAAAACTAAGATTTCCCCTGTCTCTCTTAGGGGACCCTGGCAATTTCCAGGGTAGAAAAGAAGCCAGTTCTGCTAGATCCTTTCTGGAAGTCACAGAGTGTTGCATGTACCATCCCCCATTATTCCCTGGCTGGAAGCTGGAAGTGACAGTTGTAGAGACTGGAAGAGCTGAGCACCTCAACCTGCTGGGCCCTTCCTATCTGCCTGGAATACTTACATCAGAATTCAGACTTCTTCCACATTTGTTTTGCAGGAACGGGCCCCTCCTGTTGATGAGGAGATGCTGCTGCTGAGGTGCCTGGAGACCTTTGATGACGACGATTTGTGATGCAGGAGGGCCGGATAGGGAAGAAGTCAGAGGACGGTGTGCAGTTTGCAAGTTTGAATGCTGGCAGCAATGGTTACATCTGCCTTGGCCTTCTGCGACTCTTTGGAGCAGTCTATACATTTGGTGCTTTTAGTTTCTAAGTATTAAAAAGTTCTAAAAGTTTAAAAGATTATTATGAAGTTTAAAAGAAGTGTGGCCTTGTTTCAGTCTTTAGAGTCATTTGGCAGAAGGGGCTGACCTGCTGCAGGGCACACAGCCACTTGGACCTATTCTGGGTGTACGGGGTACAGCTGATGCCCAGGCTGTGGGCATTTCAAGAAGAGGGTGGGCATCTGCCCCTGGAGATGAGAAAACACCAGGTCCTTTTAGCCCATCCCAGACTCAGGACATTGCTCCAAAAGGTTCTACAGTGTTCTGGAGCCCAGTTGTACATGCTCTCGGAGTCTGGAAACGGTGCTCACCTCACCCCTGTGCTGTAGGACCGAAGGGTGGAGCCAGGTGCATCAGCTGCTTCTGGTACAGACACCCAAAAGGGTGTTGCAGTGGGGGTCCCAGTGATCAGAGTACTTTGTGGTTCGTCCCTGGATGAAGGGTGCATAAACATCACTGGGCCTGCATCCTGGGGGTCAGGGTGAATTCTGTGTCAACTTGCCTATGCCACGGTCCCCAGATAGTCCATCAAACATTATGCCAGATGCTTCCGTGAAAGTACTTTTAAGATAAGATTACCATTTAAGTCAGTGGACTTGGAGTAAACCAGAGACTCTCGGTAATGAGTTCATCAGTCAAAGGCCTCAGCAGAGAAAGACTGACCTCCCCGGAGGAAGAGGGAATTCAACAGACCAAAACTTCCCCAGCCTGGTGGTGGATTTGGGGTCCCACAATGGCTTGGGTCCCTTCCTTAGAATAAATGTCCTCTCTGTGTGTGCAAAGGCACAGACATATGCATTCCATTGGTTCTGTCTCTGTGGTGGGCCCTGACTGATACACTGGGTGTGCTGAGAGGATGGGCTCACCCAACTCCTGACAGTGGGCAAGTCCTGATGACAGCGTCTCCCAGTTGCAAATGACCAAATCGAGGGGGCACATGTGGGCTTTCCATGCAACTGGGCAGCAGGGCATTCTGGGAATGCCTGAACATGTGTTGGAAAGACAGGAAAAAGGAAGTGCTTAGGTCAGCTGCCTCCAGAGACTCAGGAAGCCAGGAAGAAACCAGGGGTCTTTGCAATGGGACCTAGGCACCTGGGCACTCTGCCTCTTGCACTTGGCCCTGTGAGTCTAAGGCTGTGGGTCTGTCCTGTGGCAGAATGTGCCAGAGGCCCTTGGGCATAGGGGACCTCGGCAGAATGCTGGGATGTCCCTTCTTCCTATGGCCTGTGGTGGGTGATGGCCTCACCATCAGTCCTTAGACCCAGCAGCCCTCTGCCTGCCTCCCCCTCCCCTTCAAGCCTTAAGATCTGGCTGCAGACCAGGGTGGACTTATTGCATAAAATCCCCTTCACTTGTGCCCCCCACCCAAGGACACTTCCCATCTCTGTTGCATGTCTGTCGGTTTCTTCTGACTGTTATCTTTCTATATCAGCCAGTGCTACACAGTCAGGGTTCTGCAGAGAAACAGACCAATAGAACAGAGAGACACATATTTTCTCTATGGAACTGGTACATGTGTCTGTGAGGACTGACGTCTGAAGGAAATCTGTAGGGCAGGCCAGCAGGCAGGAGCTGGTGCTGCTGACGTGTTCAGGCAGAATTTCTTCCCCAAACCCCAGGTCTACTCTATGGTCTTCAACGAATCTGATAAGTCCACCCACACTGCCAAGGGCAATCCTTGAATTTAAAGTCAGCTGATTGTATCAACCACATCTATAAAATGCCTCCCCAAGCTGGGTGTTGTAGTGCATGCCTATAATCCCAACACTTTGGGAGGCTGAGGCAGGAGGATCCCAAGGTGGAACCCATCCTGCGCAGCTTAGTGAGACCCTGTCTCAAAATACAAGCAGCTGGGGATGTAGCTCAGTGTGAGGGTCCCAGGTTCCTCAGGGAAGGAGAGGTGGTCTGTGGATGCCAACAACAAGAACGGACAAGGGTGGCAAATGTGATGGTGTGGGGGCAAAAACAAAAGTAAAGTGGAGATGTCCTGTAGGATCTGGAATTAAGGTTCTTCCCCACTCCTCCTTGTGCTGAAGGAACTTTTGTTAGCTCTGGGGAGGGCTTTACACCCTGCTGGAGTATGTTATCTAACTAGATGACAAAAAGATGTTTTGCAGAACAACACTGATTACATAACAATAATTATCAAATTTTTGTAAGCTGACTGCAAAATGTCTTCTAAGAATGAACAGATTAGGTACATTCGAAAACACAAAATCCTTGCATTGGGGATGAGAACATTTTTCTAAAGAGCAGAAGTAGTTCAGAAACTTTGCCAGCAAATGGTGCCAAAAACAAAACAAAAACAAAAGCACGACTTTCCACCAGCTAAGGGTTCTGCAAGGAGGACACCATCCATGGATTTAAGAATAACAGGGGCTTTGGGACGGATCTAGAAGTGTGGAAGAGATTCCTGGCCAGGAAAGCCATTCCCAGTAGGAGCTGAGTGGGCTTCATCAGGACAACACGTACAGGAACAAAGCGGATCTGTGAAAGCTTGGGTCTCTGCGCGTATCAACTTCCCAGAGTGGAGAGGAGCTTCAGACTTGTTCTTCAGGAACAGCTGCCATACAATAAATACTGAGGTCTGAATGTTCCTAGAACCCCTAGGGTGATGGTAAGAGGAGGAGAGGCCTTTAGGAGGTTTAGGTCCTAGACAGAGTGGCCAGGAATGAGATTAGCATTCTTATAAAAGTGGCCCCAGAGAGAGCTCACCCACCTTCTGCACTGTCAGTGAGAACGTGCTTCCTCATCAGTGAGGAAATCTGTCAGCACCTTGATCCTGGGCTTCTGAGCCTCCAGAACTGTGGAAAATAAATTTCTGTTTGCAAACCACTGAGATTAATGTGTTTCATTACAATAACCAAATGGACTAAGACTGCGGCTAATGCAGGATTTTATTTAGGGACTGAATGAATATGTCCTAATCACCAAACTGCCACCTTATAGGTGATTCTGCCGATGAGACTACTTAAGGATCTTTAGAGGAGGTGATTATCCAGGATTAACTGGATGGACCCTAAATGCAATCACAAGTATAAAATGAAAGGAAGCTGAAAGACAAAGGGGACAGAGTAGGACAATAAATCGGAGCCCGGAGGGTTACTTATGCTTTGAAGACAGGAAAAGCAGCCACAGGCCAAGGAACACAGGTCCATACTGGAAAAGGCAGGGAGACAGATTCTCCCTAGGGCTGCTAGAAGGGAGAACCACAGCTAACACCTCAAGTTTAGCCCTGCAACACTCACTGCAGACTCCTGACCTCCAGAACTGTCAGGGTAGCAGTTGTGCTCTTTGATACCTCTAAGTGTGCGGTAACTAGTCAGGGCAGCCCCTGGAAATCATTGCAGGAACTGGAGAGATGTCTTCAAACTCAATACTTACAGAGCTTCTTTGCATAGTTCCCCTGGGATGTGTCTGGAGCCAGTGGGGAAGGAGGATTTCCTTTTGTCTTTGTAGTCACGGTGGCAACTGCACACTTGGGTGGCCTGTGGCCGTTACCCTCCTGCGGTGGGAGGGAATGGGGGCCAACAGGCAGGCAGAAGCCATGATAGGGGGTGGAGGGTGAGTGTGTGAGCAGTGGGGAGAGGGGCTGGGGGGTCTCGATGGTCATCCTTCAGGCTCTAGTTCTTTGGACTCCTCCTATGATTCTTGTCATTTCCCGACTCCTTCCCTCTAGTTCCGAGATCTAATAAATTTCATCAGCTGTTTGGAGTTAGACTTTTGCAGGAACTGTTCTGGGCCCCAAAGATGGCAGCTGCCAGCCATTCTCTGTCATTTGCTGTCATTCTCTGTTATTGGCGTGCTTAAGTGTTACCAGCTTGGGCTACTGGCCACTCCCAGAGCCAGGGGCTTCTGCTATTACCAGCTCTTTGTACCAGCTCAGCACAGTCAAGATAAAAGTTATGATAGGCAAGAATATGCCATACAGAAAGAGGCTTTATTAGAAACTGTGCTACAGCGTAAGGGGGAACAGCACACAGACTGAATCTTTGAAGGGTATGGCGGTTGCTTAGGAAGGAAATGAGGCCAGCTTGCTCTTGTGCAGTATCAGACTTTGTTTGGTCATGGGTAGGGGTGGGACCCCTCATGAACCTGACCAAGGAAGGCTGCAGAGGGACAGAACCACCATCTGGAACATGTCCTCATCTGAAGCCTGCCGCAGTCAAAGCAAGCATCTCCTAGGGTAGCTGTGGGCACCTGATGTAGCCCGAAAGGCTGCACGGCATTGTGGGGCAGCAACAGAAGAAATATGGAAATGCCCCAGGGGGAGCCTCAGGCCTTCCCTCCCATCTCACTGCACTCCTAGATGCCATACCAGAACCTGGCTCCCTTGACCTGGTTACCCTTGTCCTACTGGAAGGGGTCTGTTGGCCAAGTACCCCATGGCTCTGGGGTCTCTAGGTCCCGTTCACTCCTGGAGGGGAGGCAGAAGAGAAGTGGGAAGATATGGGAGCCACAGGCAGAACAGAGCTAAGCCACTGTTCTGCCTCAATAAGCTGGGAGGCACTGGGTCCCCAGAAACTGGGAGGAGGTGCAGGACAGTCGGGGTGCTCTACACGCTGCTGGACACAAGCCTCAGTGGAAGGATTGCGAGGTGAGGATGGCAAGGCCCCAGGGCCCCGCCACCTCTTTGGGAAAGAGACTTGTGTTGTGTCACTTTTCAGCAAACAGCCCCATCGCCTGGCTCCTCTTCCTTCTAACCAATCACAATGCTGCTTGGTGGAAAAGCAGAGTTCTGCTGGACCCCAGCAAGCTGGTCCAAGCTGGAGTTGGGAGAGCAGCAGAAGGATGCACTGTGGCCTGTGGTGACCTCGGGCCTCGGGCCTCAGGCCCTGGGCGTGACCTGGATCAACCCTCGAGGGCAGCCTGGTGTGGGGGGCCAGCTGTCCTCTGATGCTGGTCTCTGGAGCACCCTGCAGGGACTCTGCCAAGGGTGTCTAGGGCCAAAGGGCAACTCAGCTGGTGCCTTTCTCTGTCCGGCCCAGGCCAGAAGGGCAGTGTGCGGGTGCAGGGGCAGGTGCAGAGCCGAGTGCCGGCACCCCAGGGCAAACTGTAGACCTCTGCAGCCTGCAGCGTGTCCCCGAACTCCTTGTGGATCTGAGCCCAGGCCAGCAGGCCTCGCTCCTCCTGGCTTCCTAAAGGGGGACAGCAGAAGTCAAGACCCACAGCGCGCCTGCCACTGACCCCCACACATGCCCACTCCCTCTCTCCCTCCTCGTCTCTCCCACTCCACCCCCTCCTCTTCCAAGTCCACCTTAAGAATCACAGCTCGGCCCCTCTTCGGGGCTTCTCTAAGCACTTACTCTTCAGGTACCCAGGGTCCCTCACCCTGCACGGCCAGGTGGGAAGCACAGAGCTGGCCTCAACTGCATCCTAATGGTTGCAGGCACAGATGCACTTTGTATTTGGCAGCAAGCAGTGGCGTGGCAAATGCAACACCATGAAGCAGGTGTGGCCACAAGGATTCTCAGGAGAGGCCAAGGGCAGACAGATGAGAGAGAAGAGACTTGGCCACACCTTCCAGAAGCCACTCTGGACTGACACTCTGTGCCCTACTCTGTGCACCCTGCACCCCCAGTTTGCTCATATGGCACCTGCTACCCAGTACCTACTAGCCAGCAGTGTGTGTGTCTGTTTCCTTTGTCTCTTTCTCCCATCACCTTGTGGATTTCTGGTAAGGAAGGACCTGCCTTAGTTTTCTTCCTGTTCTCAGAACATAGCATCTGGTACACAGCAAATGCCCAATGGATTTTCATTAAAGATACGAATGAGTCAATGAATGAATGAATGAATGAATATATGTGTGGTCTCCCTCACTGATTAGATTGTAGGCTTTAAGAGAGCCAGGCTGTGTCTTTTTCCTTTTGCTGCTCGTGTAGCTCCTGTTTTAGGGCTCTGATACAGACTGAACTGTGTCTCCTTAAAATTCATATATTGAAACACTAATTTCCAGCATCTCAGGATGTGATTATGTTTGGAGTCAGGGGCTTTAAAGAGGTAATAAAGTGGCAACGAGGCCTTCCAGATGGGCCCTAATCCAATAAGAATGGCATCTTTATAAAAAGGGGAGGGACCGGGGATTTAGCTCAGGGGTTCTGGCACCTGCCTCGAAAACGCAAGGTCCTGAGTTCGATCCCCGGTACCAAAAAAAAGGGGGGGGGAGTATATTAGGACCCAGAAAGACAGCAGGAATGTCTTACTCAGAGGAAAGGTCACTTGGGGACACACCCAGAGGGCAGCATGTGCAAGCCCAGGTGGGACCTTGGGAGAAACCGAGCCTGGCTCTCTAGCCTCTGTTTCCTGTTGTTTGAGCCATGCCCGTCTGTGAATCTGTGATGTTTTGTCACAGCAAAGGCCTTCCTCACCCTCACCTCACTTGGAGTGTGCTGGGACCAGCCTGACACAGCTGGTGGCCCAAACGCTGCCCATCTACCACCTCAAAGGTGGGACCTACCTGGGATGGTGTTGTCCAGGAGAAAGCCCAGAAATCCCCCTATGAACATGCCTGTGGTGAGCAGCACCTGGATGACCTGGTCCAGCTGGAGAATTCCTAGAGTGAGACAAAAGTGACAGGTTCCTAGGGCCCAAGGGCCTCGATGCTCACACCCGCCATGGGAGGACGGAGAGCAGTCACCTGTCTGCAGCTTCTCAGGATTCCTGTTCACCCAGCTGGGAATGGCCATCCCACAGGAGATGGAGAAGCCAAAGATGAAGAGGTTCCGGGGCGAGTTCATGTTCACGTACTGCAGGAGAAAGGCTGGGAGCTCGCATGGGCGTCAGCAGCACCTTTACCGCACACAGATGCCAATGGCTGACTGCAGAGCTCAGGTACTTTGGCCATTTATTTCTTCCATTTGGGGGCCAGTGTGGCTTCCAGGATGAAGGATTCCCCTCTCCTCTTCCTCCTCCCCCACCCCGCATCCCATTCTCCTCAGTCCTGTGGGCTCCTCTCAAGACGGGCAAAGCTACTGCCTTTTTGAGGGTGTCTTACCCCCCTCACCTGCAGATTGGAGATCCCCACGGCACCGATGACCCCAAACATGACGATGAACAAGCCTCCGATCACAGGGGTTGGGATGGTGGCAAACACAGCCCCGATCTTCCCAAATACACCCATCAGGAGCAGCACACAGCCCGCAGCAACGATCACCCTCCTGCTCCCCACCTGCAACACCCAGGGAGAGGGGACAGGGAGGTGCATTCATGGGAACAGTGTCACATAACCCCAAATCCTTCTGCTCCCAGCTGGACTTGGGAAAGGCTGAGAGCGTGGTCCTGGGGTCCAGCCTCTGCCCTCTCCTCCCCTAAGAAGACTGCATAGTGAGCTAGCACTATGTTTCATGCATCACCAGGACAGGAAGGAAACCGAGCAGATGGCTCACTTAGACTTCTCCTTCCATAGACCAGAAAGCCAAGGCCTAAAGATGGGAGTTAGGAGTGCAAGGCCACACAGGAGCCACGCCAGTTTCATGCTTCAGGTTTCCTCTGTCAGTTTAGCCCTCAGTCTCCTGGGTTCTATCAGTGGCGCTGTGAGTTCCTAGCTACCTTTTATTCACATCGGTTTCCATGTTACCTGTTACTTTGTAAATGGAGTTTATCATCTTAGGGGAGGGACAGACACCAAGCCCTAGATCTAGTGATCAAAGTAGCTAATTTCCAATAGCAATACAGGGTGTGCTCTGAAGACAGTCACAAGGTGATGGGCAGTCACAGATCACAGGGTCGAGGGTGCTAGGGCTAGGGCGGCTATGGAAGGCAGTCAGTGGTGGCCTGTTCAGGAGGAGAGCATTCAGCTGGGACCCAAGGGAAGAGGAAGAGGCATGCACACAAAGATTTGGTGGAAAAGCGTTCTACAGAGAAACAGTAAGTGCTGACTGTGGTGAGTTGAGACCAAAGGGAAAATCGTGTGCCTGAGCCACAGTGACCTGTGGAAAAGAGAGGAGAAGAGAACTCAGAACAAGGCCTGGGCTCCATCCTGCAGGGCCTTGGGAAGGAGTCAGAATAAAGTCAAAAGAGAATGCTTGAACAAAATTTGTACAGTAAGGTATGATTCAGCCTTAAAAAGGAAATTCTGGCACTGGCTACAACCTGGGTGAGCCCTGAGGATATTATGCTAAGTGAAATAAGGCAGTCACAAAGCAAGACCAACAGCTGTAGTGACTCTACTTAGACAGGGTACCCAGGCAAGGGAGTCAAGTTCACAGAGACAGAGGCAGGGTTGCAGTTGCCTGGGCATGGGGCAGGAAGGACCGGGCAGTCATTTAGCAGGCCAAAGGTTCAGTCCTGCAGGGTGAGTTCCAGGGCGGATGGTGCTGATGGCTGACAAGAATGTGACTGCACTTAACACTACCACGATGTACATTTAGAGACGACGGAGGCGGTAAATTTAACAGTTTGTATATTTGACCACGATAAAATATGTGTGTGTATATACACACATGTATATATGAAGTAAAAAATCCAAAGACAAGAAAAATCCTCAATGGATGGTTTTTAAGCAAGGTGGTAACATGATGTGACTTACATTTTAAAAATCTCCTCTATGAGAGCTGGGCATGTTGGCACATGCCTATAGTCCTAGCGCTTGGGAGGCTGAAGCAAGAGGATTGCTGTGAGTTCAAGGCCAGGCTGGGCTATATAATGAGTTCAAGGCCAGCCTGGATTACACAGAGAGACCCTGTCTCAAAAAAAACAAAAAACAAAAAACAAAAATATCTCCCCCCATAAAAGTCATTTCATTATTATTAATTAATACATTTTCTCTGTTAGGACAATAGTAGATTTTCTTAACAGGTGATCATTAACTATGGCTTCTCCTTCACTTTGTGCAGGCTCGTTTAGCATACAAGCCTGGGATGGGGCCCCTTCCCCTGGTATCATAGAGCATAGCTGGTCCACTCCAGCACCTTAAAAGTTCATTTCCATGAGGGTCAGTTGTTGCTCTGCAGTCTGAACACTCACAATTGACTTTCAAAACGTTTGACCTGGTTGGAATCACTCCCAATTGCCATACCAGGTGTGCGTGAGGTTTGTTGAGTAGCTAGGAGTTTGGAAATGCTGAAGAAACGTGTTCAGTCACTTTGTACAGTGGCTGTTCGATCATCAAATAAAGTGAAGTTTCTACAAAAATTTAAAGAATAAAAACAGCCCACCCTGGTGTGAGATCGTGGACCGTGGTCCATATCCGCCCCAGCAGAGCTGGGCCCAGTGCTGGGTGCCCACTGCTGCTCTTGGGCCTGGGTGATAATTTTTCCCCATGAGGTGAAAATGGCCTCTGAGTTTCTAGAGTGATGAAACTCCTCTGGGTAACACTGTGAGGGTGGATACACATTGTTAAACACCGTCCAACACTGGAGCGTGCACACCTCCGAGGGGACACCCTAACACAAACTCTGCCCTGTGGGCTTGTGATTCTACCAAGCACTCCACTGTGGGAGATCTCAAGAGGGGCAGAGGAGGGCAGCCGTGCCAGTGTGGCAGAAATGGGTCCCTCACTTCTCACTCAATTTTGCCATAAACCAAAACCGGCTCTAAAAAGAAAACTTAAGTCTTAAAAAGTGACCCCTGATTTTGGGGCACTGAATATCATTCTCCAAAGTTAGGGCCATATTGCAAATTCTCTTGACTTAATGTCTCATCCGGAGCCTACTGTCAATTCATGTATTTAAACAGTTCTTGACTCTGTTTTTCACTCGTGTGTGTCTAGAAAAGATTCTATAATGTAGCTGGGCATGGTGGTACATGCCTGTGAGCCCAGCACTCTGGGAAGCTGAGGCAGGAGTATCTTGAGTTCAAGGCCAGCCTAAGCAAGTCAGTGATTTATCGGGGCCCTGTTTGAAAATAAAAATAAAACAAAATAAAAGGGGCTGGAGATGTAGTACAGTGTGGAGGCCCTGGGTTCAAGCACTAGTACCACAAAATAAAAAGGGGGAGGAGAGAGAGAGAGGGAGATTGTAATGTAGTTTTGATTTTTCAAGATGATAAAGTTCTGGAGATGTGTTGTACGACACTATGAATATATTACTTAAAACTGAGTATGGTGGTAAGTTTTATGTTTGGTCTTTTTTACCACAATCAAATCTTTAAAAAAGATAATCTAGTGTCAACTAAAGTCCATTAATGCAGCAATAAAAGCAGATTATATATTTGCTTATTTTTCTCTTTCCAGCATAACAGCTTATTTAACTATCTGTATTGGATATTCTTACCACATCCAGGGAATGTTTTGTTTGGCTTAGGAGCTTGACAATTAACTATGGGAACAAGGGTGTGCTGCAAGCACAATAGATCGCTTTGTCGGGTTCAACCAATGCCCTTTAGATGTGTTGATGGTCTTGTAAGGATGTCAGTCATTCCCCAATCCTATTACCACGTGCACTCACCACGGAGCCCTGGGCCCTTTGGCCTCAGGATCAACATCTCAGCTGGAAGCTATGACATCCTGGAGAAGTGACAGCAGCTCTTGGGATGGGAGCTCCCCCTTGGACAGGTGCCACACAAAGCAATACCTCAAAGGGCCACAAGGGGGAAGTGTGGGGCCATAACAGCTGGTGGTCTTTGCACCAGTGCCTCAGGGTTGATACAAGTCCTACTTGACTATAGCCTGTACCCTTCCTGTATGTCTTTCCTGTCCTTCACTCACCTCTAAAGGCCCTTAGTTTAGGAAAAATGCACACAGAGATTTTTTTGTTTATTGAATATAATGTTCCGTTTTGCTTGCGATTTGTTCCTGTTAGCAGGAAAGGAAACAGTTGCTACTTTATGCTTAGGGACCCACCTGCTATTTCCTGTGTGGGTCTGTGACCCTCCTGTGGAGGGGTGTTCCCCTCACCTGCAGTCCTTGGAGACCTGGGAGAACTTGTTGGGGCTCGCTCAGCCATTTGCTCAGGGGTTTTGGCTCCAGCTGTGCTAGCGATTACACAAACCTGACGCTGGGCAGGTGCAGTGCCACTGGCTGCACAGCAGAGCCACCAAGGGAGCCATCGGCCCATGCAAGTTGGGTGGGGTCAGGGCCTTTGTTGTTCCGAAGCTCACAGGACTTGTGCTGGGAGCCACGGCAGAGATATCTGAAGCTTGTGGAAAGTGACATAATAATATTTTTCTTCCCCAAGTCACTTTAGAAAGCACCATCCCAAAGAATTCTTGCAAACCTTCTAGAGATTTACTGTGGAAGGAGAGAGGCCACGACGAGAGTGAGAGCAGAGGCCAATCTGATCAGAATTAGGCTAGAAGGATCCTTGGGCAGCCGTGCGGTAGGTGGATTTGAGATAGGCGAGTGGACATGCAGCACCACTGCCTGATCCAGGCGGGAGATGGAAGGGCTGTAGTGCTGGAGAGGGAGGGTAGAGGCCAGGAAAGGAGTGACACTGAGAAAATAGAACCAGCCAAGGAGTTGCGGACAGTAAGAAGTTAAGGGTGACCTGGGGGATCGGGTGAACTTGCTAAGAAAGGGCTTCAGGAGAAATCAGGATAGGGCACTGGCTGGGTCCACAGAGGCCAGTGGGAGTAAAGTGCCCTGGGGACATCAGGTGGCAGTGGCCAGGGTGCAACTGAATATGCAGGCTGGGGCCTAGGTAATGGACCCCCGCCTAATCCTCAGAAAAGACTTTCTTTCTGCAGGGCTCAGAAAGCCACCCCAACCTGCCCATGCCAGGACAGACTTCATGTGGCAGCACCACAACCAAGGAAGGCCAAGTGCAGAAAGCACAATGTGGCTCCCACAAGGACATCTGCGTCTTCACCTCTAAACTGTGCATCGCTTTGAAGGGAAAAAGAACTCTAGGGTGCGATGGAGTTAAGGACCAGATGGGTCCTTGCAAGCAGAGAACCTTTCCCAGCTGTGGCAGGGAAGATGGCAGAAGGGACCACAGTCCAGGGCTGCACAGCCTCTAACAAGGCAAAGTGGGCAAGTGCCCCCCACCGGCAGAGCCTCCGTATAGACAGGAGGACAGCCCAGGGACACCTCTTCAGCCCCAGGAGACCCAAGGCCAAGTCTGACCTCCCATTAGGAAGATAAGAAATATTGGCTGTGCTGATTTGTTACAGCAGTAACAGGAAACTAAGACACGGTGTGGCAGATTCAGGTGCCCAGCCTGTGGCCAGGAGCACAGTTGGAAGCCTTACCCTGGTGACGCCCAGTGCCCCGATGTTCTCACTGTAGGAGGTGGTGCCATTCCCTGTCCCCCAGGCCCCCGCCAGCAGACAGCCAAGGCCCTCGATGCCGATGCCGCGGTTGATGGCATGCTTCGGAGGGGGTGGGGCCCCCACCAGCCGGGCACAGGCGTAATAATCGCCCACGGACTCCACCATGGAGGAGATCACGGCGGCGATGATCCCGAAGACCCCAGCCAGGCTGATGGTCGGGAGGCCCCACTGTCCTGAAAATGCAGGGCCAGGGCAACGTCCACTCAGAAGAGGCTGCTGAAGCCCAAGTCTTTGGTTGCCAGAGGGGTCCTGGGAAGGCTGGGCTCCCTTTTGTGAAGTCCACAGAATCCAAGAGGAGACCTGAAGGTCTGGTTGGAGGTCAAGGGCTTTGTCTTCCTCTCCCCACCCCACTCCCAGCCTCTGGGTCCTGAGCAACATGGGGGGGGGCGGTGTACCTCAGGGCCAAGGTGAGTCTGGGACCCCAGCCTTCGATCTCCCACCCCGCAGGGTCTGTAGAACAACCTGGGGCCTCCCATGTCTCCTGAGTCAGCGACGGACCTCTTGGGCCTGACCCTCCTTAGCAAACTCTCTGAAAGCCTTAGTAACGCCAGTGCCCTGAGCCCCAGGGGCTGTCCCCAGCAAGAATGGCCACTGCGTGCCCCCTACCTGGGTAAGGGAAGCGAAACCAAGGGGCCTGGCTCAGGACGCTGCCTCTGGAGTCGGTGCGGGCCAGGTACCCGTGGGCGGTGGGGGCTGAGGGGAGGGTGTCCGTGACGGTGAGCACGAAACACAGGAGCCAGGACAGGCAGAGGGCCAGCAGCACCTGCGGGGGAGCCGAGCTTCAGCGGCCACCCCTGCCCCTTCCCCTTCCCCCTGAGGAGGGCTTCTGGGAGGCTCCCTAGGTTCCCAGTCCTGCTAGTGACAAGGGGCCTCTGCTGTGTCCATGGAAAAACAAGGGTGTTAAAGGAACAGGCTGGAAATAGAAGCAGAAAATAACCTGTGGGAGAGACTTGTGGCAAATTGGGGCCGAAATGCCCAACACATTGGGCACAGCTGGGGGAGAAAGGGTTACAGTTTGGTCTGTCCACTGTTGCTGACTACACGATCTCAGAGTAAACGCTCTGAGCCTCAGTTTCCCCATCTGTACTATGGAATTACAATTACTGCTCTGCAGGGCCTGAAGCAGAGCTTTTTAAATTTTATCTATTTATTTTGTATTGGGGGTTGAACCTTAATTTTGAAACAGGGTCTTCCTAAGTTGCCCGGGGTTGGACTCATATTTGCCATCCTCCTGCCTCAGCCTCCCGGAGTCTTGAGAATAAAGGCATGTGCCATCATGCCTGGCTAAGAGTTTCCTAAAATGAAGTCCTCAGTTAATAGGTTTTAAGTCTCTAGTGGTGGGAGTCCAGAACTGTATTTTTAACAAAGTGTCCTAGGCATACTGAATTTTAGAATCACTGGGCTGTGGAGTTGTTGAAGGATCAATGAGATCATTATGTGGAAGTCCCATTTTGCATGAGAAATAAAGTTTAGGGTTACATTAAACTGGAAGTCAGCTGTGTGCTGGCACTATACACACCTGACAGAATTCAAGGGGAAGAATCTGAAAAGGGAGGCACCATCACCATGACCAGTAACCGGCTCACCCCAGAGCCATCTAGCAAGATCCTAATCTAAGCAACGGGGCCCAATAGGCTGCTTCTGGCCCTTGACGTTTTATCATTCAAGATGGACTCGGACATCTACCAGGACCTTGTCATGAGGAGAAAGCTGTCCGCCCCACCCTGGTGCCTGGAGCAGTGACCTGGGGCTCTGGGCAGAAGCATCCGAGGGCAGGCCTGGGGTGGCAGGCAGCAGTGGCTAGGAGCCACAATCCTCGGGTTGCCCCTGCCCTAGGATGGGGCCACCGCAGATGGGGGAGCACCGGCTTGGGGACTGCGTAGGCACAGAGAAGGTGCCCCACCTGTACTCTCCAAGGGCCACCTCAGGGCACAGGGCGAGGGGTGCTTCTTACAGGGAAGACCTGAAACATGTAGAACTTGGCGGTGCGACACTTCTTCCATCCTCCATAAACAGGCACAGGCACCGAGACGTTCTTCAGGTACTGGGAAAACAGGACGATGAGGAAGATGGTCCTGAAACAGGAAGGAACAACCACACTCAAACTTTGGCCTGGCTCCTCCTGAGCAGAGGGCACGTAGGCTTCAGGTGGCCAAGGAGAGCCACCCTGTGCCTCTGGGAGCAGGAGCCTCCCTGGGAGGGTCCCAGCTGGACCACTCCTGAGCGCAGACAGAGTCCTGCCGTCTCTGAGCAGGGCTCAGTCTTGGGAGCTGCTGTGGGCGAAGAGAAAGAGTGGGATAGGATGCTACTGGTTCTGGGGAGTCACACCGACCCAGCAGTTACCGCCAGAGGGGCGGGGTCAGGGACCATCTTCCCACCCGGGCCCTCTGCAGGCCTGATGGTCCTCACACTGCACTGAGACCACAGAGGGCAGAGTGAGGGACGGCGTCTCGCCTTTAAGGGAGGAGGCTGTGTTTGCCATGAAGCCTCCTGGGCCTCCCCTCGGGATGTCCTCACCTCCTCCGCACACCCTATGGCTCCTGGCTGTCCCTGGATCGCCCGTGCTCCGATCTGAGCCTTATCTCTCTCTCTCTCTCTCACAGAGATAGCCACCCCTTACACTCTTCCCCGCTCCATGAAAACCTAGTTGGTGAGTGACCGGTAGGATCAACTTTCTGTAAGCATTGTGTACTCTTAGGCACTGCATGTGAGTAACTCATTATCTGTGAGTATTACTAAGATAAAAGAATTGACAGTATTAATGAATGATAAGTGGCAGCTTTGGTTCTTAAAAGTTCTGGTAGCTTGGAGTCCCAGCACTCTGGGAGGCTGAGGCAAGAGGATCACAAGTCTGGGCCCAGCCTAAGCGACTTAGCAACTTAGTGAGATCCTTTCTCAGAATACAAAATACCAAAAAAAAAAAAAAAAAAAAAAAAAGCTAGGGGTGGAGCTCGGTGTGAATCTCTGGGTTCAATCACCAATAACACACACACACACACAAAAGTATGACAATGATCACTGAAGTATTTGTAAACCACAAGAGTTTGCCAATATCCTGGATCCTATTATTCTTACTAGGTGATATTCCACCAAAAGCAAAGCCCTGGATGGGCTGCCCTCCCCAGAGAGTACTTACAGGGAGGAGATCCCCCAGTGGATTCCGGCGTCATTGCCTGCAGAATCAAAGAGTGGCAGGGCCACCAGGGAGATGGTCGGAGCAATGGTCAAGGGGCCGATGAAGCGCATGAGAAAGCCAATGAGGCCCGAGAATCCCACCAGGATCTGCACACAGGAAGCCACCATGATGGCGCCCTGCAGCTGAAGGGAGAGAGTGGGCTCAGTCCAGCCATGGCCACCATCGCGGCTCCAGCTGCTGGGGCTCCCCATCAGACCCGGCCACCCCAAGGCGGTGCCTCCCAGCAGACCAGAGGCAGAGCTGGAATCCAGAGGAAGTGGGAGGAACAGCACCATCTTTCTCTTTCCAGCTGGGTTTCCAGCTGCCTGTTGGACAGCTTCATTTAACATGATGCTTTTCAGGAAATAGGCTTCAAAATTATTCATTGATCACGGTCATGGTGATGGCATTGACTTGCACACTAGCATGATTCAGTGGTGGACTGAACATCTTGCTGCCATATTTTTCTGTTTTCTCACTTTCTATTGCAGGGGTGGGCAAACTCTTTCTGTAAAGGACCAGCTAGGGGATGTTTTAGGCTTTGTGGGTATACAGGCTCCATTGCAACCTTTCCAGAAAAGATGAGAACAAATGAGCATAGCTATGTTTCCATAAAACTCTACTTATAGTCACTGGTGTGTGAATTTCATATAATTTTTACATGTGAAGATATATTACTCTTTGGGATTTAAAAAAAATTATCATTTAAAATGTAAAACCAACCCCAGGGATTTAGCCCAGTGGTTCCGCCACCTGCCTCACAAGCACAAGGTCCTGAGTTTGATCCCTGGTACCAAAATAAATAAATAGAATAAAATAAAATGTAAAACCATTCTTAGCTCATAGGCTATTAAAAAATAGGCAGTGACTCCTGGACTGTAGTTTGCCAACCCCTGATCTACCAGAATGAATGAATTTGCTTTACTTCCCCTTTCTAACTTTGACAATGTAGATGTTATACTTTCGATTTTTATTCTTTCAGAAGTTATTCCTAACTTTTTAATATGAATACTTCATATAACAAAGTCTACAGTTAACTAAATTTTCTAGCATCCTCCAAAATAGTATAATGATTATAGAAAACCTTAACTCCTGTCACCATCTTAGGTTTTCCATTATTATTTTTGTCAAATTATTATTATTGTCAAATATTTATTTGTTTATATTTCCAGTCGCATAAGTGTGAATTTTATTATATTTTCCTATAATCAATACTCTACTGTTGTGAACCAAATTGTGCTCCCTCCCAAGTTCATTTGTTGATGGTATTTGGAAATGGGAGCTTGGGCAGTAATTAGATTTAGACGAGATCAGGAGAGGGACTCCATGATATCATTAGTAGCATATTTTAATAAAAGGAAGACCTTCCCTCCTCACATCAAATATCAAGGAAAGACTGTGTGCAGACATAGCTAGAAAACAGCAGTCCACAACCCAAGCAGAGGGCCCTAACACCCCACTATCAGACTTCCAGCCTCCAGAATCGTAAGAAAGTCCATTGCTGTTATTTAAGTCACCCAGTCTCTGGGGTTTTTGTTATGGCAGCCTGAGCTGACTAATACATACTTCTCATTACCAACCTCTCTTTGATTCAAGATTTAATATCTTTGTGCCTGAGGAATACCCTTGAATAGTTATTTCGATAAAGATCTGGGATGAATAAGCTCTCTTCATCTTTAACTGAAAATGTCTTTAGTTTGCCATCAGCCTTGTAGGACACGGAATTAAAATGCTTCATTGTCTTCAACTCTCTGATGTTGCCAGTGAAAAGGCTGCTGAATGACCACTGGGTGTTCTTTTGTATGCAACTATTTTTCATGTTGCTTCTAATATTTTCTCTTTGTATTTGATATTGTAGTTTCATGGTGGTATGTCTAGTATTGGACTTATTTTATTCATTCCATTTGGGACTTGGTGTGCTGTTGATTAACCTGAGAAGCATTCACATCTTTCAACTGTCCTAAACTGCTCACCATCACATCTCTTCTACTACTGTCACTTTTGCCTTTTCTCTCTTATCACCCTTTGGAATTTCTATTAGATACAACTTGGACTTCTCCTTCTCTTTCTACATTTCTTATTCTCTATTTCATATTTTCCATCTTTGTACCCCTCTGTGCTGCATTCTGGATTATTTAATTGATCATCTTTTAATCCTTGAATTAATTTCCCTTTAGCTATGTCTAATGCTGTTTAACCATTATATGCATTTTTAAATTACAATGCTCTGATTATATATTTGTATTACTAAAGTTCTGTTTGGTTCTATTTTTAAAATTCCTTATTCTTATTTCATTTAACCTTCTTCTGTATTATGGTTTCTATTGTTTCCTGATTCTCTTAAATTAATTTAAACATATTGATTTAATAGCCTCTTTCAAAATATTCAATTATCTCTTGTTTCTGCTGAGTGTCTTTCATAATACGTTATGAAATTTATATCTGTGGGCTCATTTACCAGGGAACTGTTTATTCCTGTGGGAATCCTGTGTACCCTAGAATGTGGAAGTGGGCCAACAGTGATTTTACATTTTCTTTTGCTGAGAACCCCAGGTATTTCAATTGACAAGACCAGTTTTTCATTTCTGAGCTTCAGAAACTTTTCACTATACCACCATGTGTTGGAGTTTCTATTTCTCATGCAAATCTATATTCCAACACTTCCCACAGAACCCTGGCCAGAATAAAAGGTGTCCTCACTAATTCCCTTGGCTGGTGGGTAGAGTTATTATAAACTTCCATTCCCTAAAGAGAATGCCCTTTCCAGCTACCAGTGAATCATGAAAACCCAGGTTTCTAGCCTTTGGTTCTATATCGAGGTCTGATTCATCATCCTACTATTATAAACTCCATGATTCTGGCTAAAATTTACATCTTCATTTCTAGAAAGTGGTATTCTACCTTGGCTTTAAACTCAAGTATGCATTTGAAAATACAGTTCATCTATCATTTTTTTAAATGTTGGTAATGTGAATGGGGTCCATGATACTGGAAGGTGGTCTAATGTACTGGAAACTGAACTCGCCATCTCTTTCCACAGTTTTCTACTTCATCTGAAACCACCAATTCTCCAAAACAGAATCACTGCACACTTCTCCTTCTCCACTGGATCTTGAGATCTGTGAGTCCTAGCCCTGCTACTGGTGCTGTGTTCCTATTGCTTTCCTCTGTGACTGGGATTATGATATATAGTTGGTCTGGTGACAACTGGTGATTTCCAGCCTTGAGATGTGTATAGATAGATACAATTCAGGGAGGCATAAGGAGTCCACTCCAATAGGTTGACTCAGTGAATTAAACCAGTGAATCAATTATATTTAATGAGGGTGAAAGTCCTTTCATTTATAGCGCTGGTGAAAAGTATTTGACCAGCAGATGGAGCTAAAATACCACAGGTAAAACTGGGTTTGTGACTTCCTGGCGGGTAGGGGACAGGACAGACTATTTTAGACCTAGGCAAGAGAGCCCCTGTCCTGAGGTCTGTGTTTTAAACTAGGAATTATCAAACTTTTCCTGTCAAAGGCCAGAGAGTATATATTTTAGAGTTTGTAGGCCACATGTGACTTCTGGCACATATTCTTTTTTTTAACAACCTTTTAAAAATATAAACATCTATCACTGTGGTATGATTCTTTTAATTCTTTTGAGAAGATACCCAGCAGGGAGATAGCTGGGTCAAATGGGAC